GTTTGATGCCTTCCTTCTCCAGCACTCATGTTTATTTTGCTTACTAACAAATATCAGATACATTTTTGCACTTAAAATACTTCCATCACACATGCTGTTCTTCCTATTTTCATCCATCAAGTTTACTGGCAACACAGACTTGCATCACTTCTCCTCTTTCCCTTTTCCACCTCTGTTCAGAACATTAGCCAGCTTTCATTTACAAGCGAGCCAAGAACGAAACAAGGGAAACCTGACACAATGGTCTACAGCCAGACCAGGAAGCGAATAGTTCTGGAGCTTTACCCTCTCTCTCACTTAGTGAATATGTAACTCTGAACATCTCATATGCTTTGAGGCCAATTTATTTATTAATTTACAACTACATAAAACTGTCCTAACAAAGTGGGATACAAGAGTCCTAACCCTAGTCGTAGTCCTATCCCTAATGAGCGTGCAAGTCTTTTTAAGCTAAAGCAGCTGTATTAGAGGTTATAAGCAAGCTTAGTATTTCTAACCTCCTGATAGTTTTTCACTCAGTTCTCCCATCGCAATGTCACAAAGGTACAGATGTACAACTTTCAGACAAATTAGTTCTATAATGTAACTATGTTAAACTTTCGTGAAATGTAGTCACAAACAAGTTCAGGTTCAAATCTCACAAGGTTTCCCTCCTGCAGGGTACACTTGCAACTGGGAGCTGTCTCTTATCATTCCAAGCCCTCTCGGAAGCAACGTGACATTTCTACCTCCTGAACTGTGACTCTGCACTCCAGTTTCCTTTCAGCACTTCAAATACCAGAGCTCTTCAATTACCTCACTCTTCAATCAAATAAGAGCTTCTGATGAATTCTTGTTTTGATACTGCAAGACAAGTCTCTGACCCATCTTTCTGAACACACTCTTCCCAATTCTAAACCCTAAATCCTTCCTTCATCCACAAATTTTAACTTATTATTGTGATGAAAGAAAAACTCCAAGCAGGGATTTAGCATTTTTCTTTTAAGAAATCCCTTATTTAATAATAATTATATAATGATAGAATAATTTAATGATAGAATTAATTTCTGTCTGCATTGGCACATCCTTAGGTGAAATTCGTGTAAAGATTGCCAAAACTACAGATCTACTTTGATTTTATACAGTTTACAGAAAAGGATAAATTGGGACATTCTTCAAATTAAAATACAAAGATTTTATCATATTCCCATAAACACCCACAACCACTCCTGCAATGAATGTATTTTATAAGTGTGTGAGAGAGAAGTTTTGAAACTTAGTTGAAGTTATACAGACCACAGTTTATTTAAAAACCATGTAAACAAAAATCAAAGGCACAAAATACAAAAACATTTCAGAGTAGCTTGTCATATTGAGATCATACAATTGAATCCATAATATTATCAAAATGTGGTACTACATAAGCCATGGTAGGTGGAAATGTTGCAGTAAGTATAAAAAATGTGGAATATCTACTTGCCATTAAATTAATCAGGAGTTACAAATGTGCTGTAAAAGGAAGTCCATACAGTACACTTATTTGTTTCAAGCACTTTTCATACTGATTATTCAGTTTCACAGATTCCTGTACAGCATGCTTGAGATCTTCTATCTCTTCAAAAAAATCCTAGAGAAACCCAAAAGTATTCACCTTAAAGTTTCTTTCAAAGACATTCTCAATAAGAGCTAGTCAGCATTTCAGTTGTTCCCAAGTTCAAAGACACCTTCTATGTTTTTATTAATGTACGGTTGAGTTATGCAAACACAGCTACGGCGATATAGAGCAATCAATTATAACCTTACGTAATAATTTAAAACTTTGCCCTGAACACATAACGCAAGCAGAATTCAAGTTATGTTAGAGCCTGAAATACAGACTAATAATAGGAAAGATGACTTAAGAGAAGGAAAAAATGCTGATTTATCAAAAAAGCTACAAAATGACAGTCCAAAATGACAAGGGAATAATGTCAACCTCACCTGTGCAAAAACATAGCTATATGAGCTGAAGTCAGCCAGTAGCAGATAACACACCATCAACTTTTTAGATCTGAAAGTTGCAAGAATATAAAACAGGGACAACAAGCAAGGAGAGAGATGAGGAGAGTAAACTAAGGAGGATGATCTTAGCATTTGAACAAGACAATACTAAAGAGTTTAAGGTGCAAAAAGGGATACCATATTTAGATCTAGAAAGATATAAAATATTTTTAGACCTTAACTCCTTAACTGCTTTGTAAATTGCTAGCATCAGTTTAGAACCTTAAGTACAACTACATTTTGTTAATGAATATCCTATTTCAGAATAGTATCTATTATTTATGACTACACTATGTTAAAAAGTTTGGTTTTCGTATTCAAGAGGATAAGATGTGTGATGCATTAAACTTGACAGAGCCTAATACGGGTAACACCATCCAACAGGTTCCACTGGCTCAGATAAAAGCAATTTACAACAAAGGAGGGAATGAAAAAGAGCAGTATGTAAGGCTACACAGAACGTAAAGAGACAGTCCAATAAGAAAGCCGTAAAAACCAAGTCCTGTTGCACTTATTTAATGTCAGCCTATGTGGTGTCACTCTCTCACATTGATCCTTTCGTAATTATGCTACTCCAGAATGCGTAACTTAACAAGTAGTTCTAGCTACACCTAATTCAACTAGGAGATAAATTCAGCTTCACAGAAATAAACTTCATTTATTAAAAGTATTGATGTCACATAGCTTGAATGTTTTGTTCAGCTCCTGCAACTCAAGTCTACCGAGAAATTCTGATCCTTTGTAAGTAAAGTCAGAAGTTGTTGGGAAATACAAGGACAGCAAGCAGAATGTAATCACCCAAGACTTAATTTCACCAACCTTGGAAAGTCCTGTCTACCAGAGTAACACTGCATCTACTTATATCCATCTGTATTTGACATCTTCTCCTGCCTTTTGACATGACTTTTTTTTTTTAAATGAACAGTTACGTGTATCTTAAATAACGTACAGTCACTTAAAACTACCTAAAAAAGGGTCACTGATAAAAAAACATAACCTCAGATTTATATATTTCTTCTCTGCAAGATCAGACTTTCAGCCACAAGTTGTCCCTAACTCCCAAACATGGGGATCTAGAACTCACCCTGGCTCAATGTTCTACAAGTTTCACATCTAATGAACTATCACCACGTTTTACCGTTACCCCTGTAACAAAAGCTAGCATAATATTATTTAGCTTGTGAGAGGGGATTGCAAGATAAGAAAAGAAATTCTCCAAAAACAAATCCAACACAAGACTTGAAGAATAAGCAAAAAACAATTTAAACAAGTTTGTTGCTGAAAATAAAATCTTAGGTCAGGGCATTAAACTGTCTCCTCTACAGCTAGATAAGATCTCTTCATCTCTTCACATAATTTCAAGAATTACCAAATTTTCACACTTTCTCTTTCTACACCTGTATGGACTATCTATCACGAAACCTTCAAAGCCCTCCCCCCTGCCCTCCCTAAGCTTAGAGTTCTGTCAGAGGCATAACTTTGACATGTTTAAATTCAAGAGAAAATAGTTTTCCGCGCACTGACATCATGAAGCAATAGAAGTGATCATTCAAAAAAATATTTTTATTATGTCTGCAAATGTCTGTTGGAAGGAATTAAGACAGTTATCAGCAGTTACAATTTTAATGTCATAATGACATGAGACAAATAATCTCTCATGAAGGAAACCTAATTATCCAAACATTAAAAAAAAATCCACAAGAAAATCCACCAGTATAAAACCAAAAAAATAAAAATTGCATTATCCCTCTTCTTTAGCCAAGCAGTACTGTAGGACATTAATGTTTCAAGGAGTCATTCTTTTCCATTCCTTTCTCAGAATGCTATAAATTGATTTTTTTTTTTTTACGTATTTTGCTTGATAACAGCATAAGTTCAGCCTAAAGATAAGTTTCAGTTCAGGCAGAAAAGTTAGTTTTTCAAAAATCACCTATTCTTAAACTTGTCCTAAAATAAATTACCTTGTCTAATCCGGCTAATTCATTTTTTAGTGCTCTCCTTTCTGTAGACAACTTTTCATTTTCTTTCTTCAGCTTTTTAATCTCCTTCAACAATAGCTCTATATTCAAATAAAAAAAATACAGACTTCAACCATTACAGTCAACCTCCCCCTCATATGAATCATATTACAGCTAAAGAGCTGCCTACGTTTTGTGATATTAGAAAATTATGGTTCAGCTTCTTAAAGTACCTTTTTCATAAAGTGATTTATTCTTAAGAATTGGCCCAGCATACTCCCAGGTACTAGGAGAGATAACAGGATCTGTCAGTTGGATAATCTGCATCTGCCAGATTCTTAGAATGTGGGATTATTTTACTTTAAAATCCACAAAACATACATCACATGCCTTCATTACCTTTTTCTGACTTACGACAGGGTCCTATTAGCCCTTGCTGACAGCACATTTCCTGAAAATTATGCCTACGTTATATGATCTCTTCAATCTCTTTTTTTACGCTTTGAAGTGGAACAGGATTGCACCTTAACTTGTGGATTTACTTATGTGAGGAAGAACATGCCCAAACCAGTATTGTCTGGGTTTGTCCCACATTTTAAGGCTAAAACCAGGTTCTTTTGTGTATCAGCGTCTGAAAATCAAAGAATGGAGCAGCAAACATTATCGCTAAGAGATCTGCATAGATACAGCTTACTGGAAAAAATAATAAATAGTACTAAATACAGCCATGCACTCCCACCCGTGATTACACCGACATACCAATTTCAGGGAAAAACCAAACCAAAACAAAAAAAACCCTGCTGCTTTTCTCATCACAAACAAATGCAGGGCTGGGTCCACAGATAGGACATTGATTATGAGATACCATTTTTACGTAACAGGTTTTCAAAAGTGAAAAACATTTTAGATGCTGCTGGTTGAAGTAGAAGAAATAACCTGGAGTGTGCCTTTGGATCTGAAATGAAATGCATCATCTGTGATGGGCATACTGGAAGCAACATCAGAATTAACCGTATGATTACCTAAATATTTACTGCAACAGGACTCCTTCTTTTTAGACATGTCCCTGCGAGATGTTACTTCTCCCTCTGGGGTTCGACTTCTTTTTCCAGAAACAGCACTAGTTTTCCAAGAAACCTTTTTCCATTCCAATTGCTCAATTCTTTGCCTCTGCTCTCGAAGATTATGCTCTAGCTCATGAATTTTAATCTGTCAAGAAACTAAATTTTTTTAAAATGCATAGAACAAACACAGTTCAACTGAATACAACTGGAAACATATCCTGACTGCAAATCTAGAGCTTTCAATTGCTGACTTAAAACTACATTTATCCAAAGTGTCTGAAAGGAGAAAAAAATACAGCAAGTGAAGTTTTGCATACATCAAAAGCATTTTAAAAAAAAATCTGTTACTGAGCACATGCTTGCAAGACAGTATAAATGTACATGCACAAAGATACTAAACCTTTCCACACAATAAAGCGTACTTTTATAGCAGCAATTGCCAACTTCTAAGAAAAAGTACATATAATCCAAATCATAATGAGTATTAATTCACAAATAAATGAAGCCCATGTTCCAGACTCCTAGGAGGAAATCAATTAGACTGGTCAGTTGTAATGCTTGATCAATGCCTAAAGAGGCCATATCCACTTGAAGCTTCTTGAACCACTCCTGGCCACGCAACCCTACCTTTGCTCCAGTTATGATGCTAGTCTCTTTGCACAGCAAGCCAACAGATCTCGCTACCTGACAGAAGACAATTCGCCTTCGTTTGGTTAGCTTACTGCTGGATTTCTGAAATAAATCGGCTCATGACACATACAGAAAAATATCGGGCCTGGCGCAAGAGAGGTCGGAAGATGCAGATACAGCTGGAAGGAGGGGTAGGTAGGTGAATAAAGAAAACAGCAAGGAAAGGGGAGACAGCTTTCAGTTACAGACCTACCAGTGACAGAGTTCACTTTCAAAGGGAACTACAGACTACCTTCCATTAGCTCAATAGCGTGGGAAACAAAAATGAGTTTAAAAAGAAAAACTTGGTCTCATTTTACAAATCTAAAAACTACATTTCAGTCTCACTAAAAGCTTATGTTTGGCTATTTGATACCATCTCCTATAAATTCTACTTACAGTGAGATTTTTAATTGCTTCGCTTTGCTCCTGGTTTGTTTTGATTTCTTTAACGTAACGTTTCTGTAGATCATTATACATCTGAAGTAGTCTAAAACAGAAGAAATGCATAAATTGCAATAAAATATGAAAGCCAACAAAATGTGCATCCTTTATGATAAAAATATTACAGATGCCCCATAGAGATCACTTGGACTGTAGCTGTACTGTAGAGACTCGTAACAGAAATATTTAAGATGGGTGTGAATGAAGTGTGACTGGCAACACAGAAAGAAAAAGCACCAGAAAAAACAGCAAAGCAAGAGTTAAAAGAATGGTCTGTATGGATGGCAAAGAATCCCTTTCACTCAGCCAGACTGAGGACCCTGTTGTTTTTGTCCAGCCCACATGGCCACGCTCTGATTAAACCTCAGTACAAATAATTCGTTAATGGAAGACCTATACACTAGCAACAGGAGGGTGGCAACGAGTTTGCAGCGTGTCACATATATCATTCCTCTCCCCATTAGCACAACAGGAATAGCAAAAGACCACTCCTAAAGGATATAAAAAAGTTTGTCCAGAAGCTAGTTTCTTGCCACCAATCAAGAACCCATGACGAGGACTCATGAGGCAGCATCCCCAGCTCTCCGTGTTGCACACAAGCAACTCTGGCCAGATCACTTGGACACACACATCTCGTTGCTTCTGAGTACGTGAGTGTGAGGATATGAGTGAATGAAATATATGAGAAAATGAGTATGAGTGGGTAACATCAATGTAAAATAAACAGATTTGGGATATTATCTTTCCCTTTGATATTACCTTGCATCAAGTTCTGCTACACTAATTTCCTACAGTATTTCATAGCATTCAGTCTACATGTATCAGGCCCACAATGTAACTGATGAACATGAACAGACGTTTTTCCTATTTTATTAGGAATTCGAATAAGAGCCAGCATTCATACTAAGTCACGACTGTGCGCCACAAGCAGGATGAGCGATACTAGTAGAGAACAGCTTTGTAAAATAACATACAAATAGATGCTAGAAAAAAGCTAAGTCAGGTTATCTATGTGCAACCTAATACAAAGCAGGTCCAGCACTAGATTCAAAGAATAACTCAGACTTCTTCAACATAAGCACCTAATTAGGTACTCAATTCAAGCCCAGAGCCAGACACCCAGCCTTCCTACATAGTTGACAAAGAGAGTCTGGTGGACTGTAAAGGTATTTTTAACAAAAAAAAAAAAAAAAGAAAGAAAAAGAAAAAGAAAAAAACAGGCCTTCTACAGCCATCTAAACGGAACACTAAAAACAGGGTGGTTGAATCAAGAGCAGTAGGGACTGCCTCTATCTTTATCTGCCTCCAAGATCCACAGCCCATCTCTGTAAGCGGATAAAAAGCAGCCTTTGAAAGAATGGAGCAGCCTATTTATTTTAAATTAAGTCATAGACTGACATTTTATGTAGCATGCCTAGTTGTTAAAATGTTTCAATACACATTTTCTTAAAACAAAAATGTATCTTTTGTATCAAAAATACAGTTACAAGAGTTCATTTCTAGCATTAATTGGCAAACTACAGTAAGTCGTGGCTCGCTTCTAAAATCAATTAGACTGAAAAGTAGAATCACTTGTGTGGCTTATTTTGAAAGCAGTACTAGCTATAAATTTTATATATATATGCATAAAATTGAGCGATAAAAAAATACAAAATGTAATTACATAATTCTAGGTTAAAAATCTACAAAAAGGATCACGTGTGCACACACGCACCATAGAGCTTCCTTAACTCATTCAATTTTTCTTAGTGAAAGATTTGAGAAAGAAGTCCATTTTGTTCTTTGTTTACTGATATTTTCAAGATTAATCTAAGATTTAGTATTTTCTTTTAAAATGTAAATAAAATTATTTTCCATTGTTTCAAAAGCTGAAAGCAGCTTCCATACCAGTAAACAAAAATTCAGCTGACTTAACCATGAACAACATATTCTACCCCACAAAGAAGAATGTTTAATTCTGTGAAGAATTAAATTTGCAGTTTCCAAGAACTCACCTGACACTGTCACCCTCTAGATTAAGATCCTTGCTGTATCCACCCTTATGCCACAAATGGGTTTCTGTTTGAACTTGAACACTTAATTGAAACAAACACAACAGCTTAATAAAATTAGATTTTACAACTTTAATTGGATCAAACAAAGCAACTGAAAAAGGCTAAATTACTTTTCAGTTTGATTTGACAATAGAGGTTTCCATGCAGGAAACCAAATAAACGCACCAAATTTAAACTTGAATTTTTCTGCAAACAGGTATTTAAATCCTGGCCGGACACTCTTCACACTAGTGCTATAGTTTTTCAGGTCCTAAGGTCCCAGTTTCTGAATCTTTTAAACAGTACTGATGCAATTTAACCAGCTTACTACTGTTTGTGGGCAAAACAGTCTAAAACTCTTTGCAGTTAGACAGAGACAGCATGTTGGCTAAGCATAACTCAAGTATTACTTATTGATATTAAAATTGCTTGGTTTACTACAACAGTGAATTTTGTCCAGGTTGCCCCAGCCATCCTTTGTTCCTTTACACGCCTCCAGCATTCTCCATCCCCACCATCCTGCTCACAGACAGCCCTCAAAATATGCAGAACAGGTAAGGCCTAGTTCATCTGAAGAATAACAAGGTACGAGTCCTGAAATATTGCACTTCTTTTGACGCAAAAAGTAATGTTTGACAATTCTTACTCTCTGCTTGTGACATAGTCATGCATTAACTGCTGCAGATGCAGTTTTTCTTGGATCTGGCCCAGATTCTTTTCTAGCTCCTTATTTTTTAGGTGTAGTGATCTGGCCCAGATTCTTTTCTAGCTCCTTGTTTTTTAGGTGTAGCTTTTTCAACTTCTTGACTAATTGTTCATTTTCATCACTGAGCTGAAAAGGAAGACAATTAAAAAAGAAAAAAAAAAATCAAGCAACATTTTCAGATCAAGCATTAATTGAGCTGATAACATTTCAGATCAAAATTCTCTCCCAAAAGTTTTACTACATTTGTCTTGAACTATACAAATATATAAAGAAAAACAGCAGGAAAAATAATTGGCTTCAAACTTTATGAAGAATTGACTAAAACACAACTTCTTTAACATATATATTAAAGGATTCTAATGCAACTTCATAATTCATTACTGAACGATAAGGCAAAACGGTTTTGTATTTTTTAAAAAAGTGACAAAGGGACAAAACACACCAGTTTTCAGTTATACTTCTAAACTCAAAACACCAGCTCTGCAGCGAAGCTCGTATTTATTTTTGTCTTAACCTCACCGAAGCTGAAAGACTAAACTACAGCCGCATTAGCAGAATTTCTTGCACGCACATTTGCTGAACCTCGCCCAGCAGTATATAATCACGCCTATCACCCAAAATGCACCAAATGCAACTAACGATCACGCCCTAACCTACAGGGTATTAAGAAAAACTGATGCTGTCGACAGATACTCAGTCAAGAGAAGGAAGATCAGCAACCGAAAGCTGCTGTAAGCGTGAGCTCTGCCCCTGAAGGCGAAGGCAAACCAGGCCGAGCCGAGAGTCGCCGTGCCCGAGCGTCCC